GAAAATGTCGACCCTAAAAATGCACACCTCGCCTTATGCCACGGATATTTGTCTCCGACGGTAAGGTTTCAACAAGTACGGAACGGACACAAAATTTACCCACAAAAAGGGCGGGTGTGACCGGCCTCAAGCAGTTGTCCCTTGGGCACTTCAGTCACTTAGGCCAATCCTAATCCAATTTCCTTTTCAGATACCTTTAGAAGAACCCTTCCACGGTGTGGGCAACGGGAAAGTGATAACCACCTCACATACCTCCAACAGTACTCAAGATCACTGCATTTATAATCAATCTCCCTCTTCAATTCCTATTATTCCTCCTGTCTAGACTATCAACTCTATACTTCCTCTTCAAGTGTCACCATGGCCAACGATTATAGTGCGAGAAGTACTGTCCCAGGTCCACTGGAAACTCTCTCCAAACCTTCAACGTACATACTGTATGTCAAATCGGCCAACAGACCTCCTTGGCTAAGATTCTGGAATCTCGTACCATTGATGTATGCTGTCTTCGGAACACGTATACAACATCCTAGTGTGGTCATTTGGTTGACTCAACCCCCAAACGCTCTGGCACGACCGAGGGTGGAGAGAGTTAGCTCACCCTCTCGAAATGCTCTCAACATGGCTACGCGTATACAGCCACTGATAAGGAAGTCCTACTCACTGCCTTCTCGCAGTAGGGGTGTTGTTTACGAAATTGGGAGGAGGAAAAGCGAATGTCCGGTGCCTTAACCGGGTTGATGGATATGGAGAATCCACCTATGGAAATTAGAAAACGCTGATTCCAAACCAATGATAACTGCTACTGGCTTCATTATTACTGTGTGGAGCATTGTATTTGGTGTCCCCTTGTACCAATGTTTATGTGTTCAAATAAATAAATAAATCTAGCCAAAACGAGGAGCCGACGAGATACACCCGCCGCGTATATGGAGACCCGATGGCTAGCTCTTGTGGACTGGCAGGTGTACGCATAGCACTAAGTACGACGGCAGAACAAGCCCCAATAGAGTGGATCCCCAATAACAGTCGTTTATGTACTGTTCAGCTAAACGGCTCCGTAAGAACTCGGAAGGATATGGACACACGTCGTTGCCTTTTCGTCGCTTCTGCCTATGCTCCCACTGACTGCAACCTGGATGAAGTGAAAGATGACTTTTACAGGACTTCTTCAAAAAGTTAAACACTCAAACATAGTGCTCGTAGCAGGTGAATTTAATGCCCAGCTAGGTGGCTTAAACCCAACAGAAAGATATTTCAGTGGGTATTTTGGTATTCTGGCTCAGAGAACAGATAATGGTGACCGTCTGCTGCAATTGTGTTCAGACAATTGTTTAGTTTTAGCAAGTACTAATTTTAAGCATAAGGAGAGACATCGTCTAACTTCGAGACCTCTTGCACCAAACCAACGATTGACTCAAATAGATCATATTGCCATCAGTCATCGTTTGAGAGGCCCGACAAAAGATTGTCGCTCATTCTGGAATACCTAATTGGACTCCGACCATGCTCTAATACGGGCATGCATCTGCTTGCACCTCACTGGACGCAGAAAAGCCACACTAAAAAGATCCATTAGAATTGAATTGAGTGATGAGAAAACCAAAAGTAGGTTCCAGAAACAACTGAGGTCACACTTAGGTAGTTCTGAAAACGAGGCTGAACCAGATGTTGCTTGGAAAGACATACGGACAGCTGTGGAAACAGCAGCAACATCTATTGGTGATTTGAACCAAAGGGTCACGAACAACCAGTGGATTTCTGCTACATCTATTGCACAGAGAGACTTTCGTAAACTCGTCCCATCAGGCTCCGAACACGCTGAAGGGCGAAAACAAATCAGATCTAGGTTAACCAAATATCTAGGGAACGACCGCGAGCTGTGGTGGGCAACGAAAGAGATAGAAAAGGCAGCAGCTGTGGGTAACACAAGACAGCTCCACAGACTAATAAAAGAAACTGGGATTAAGAAGTCAAGACGACACTTATCTACTCACAGCCCAGACGTGTAGAACGACGGGCGGAACACGTTAAGAAGCAGTTCAGCCGGCCTTCGGCCACTCTATAACTGCCCTCCATTCCCAGACAATGTGAATGGAACATTGAAGTAGGTCCCTTAACTCTAGCAGAAGTTCAAAACGCCATAGCTAATCTGAAACGAGGAAGGGCAGATGGTCCAGATTGATTGGCTCCAGAGGTCATTAGAGATGGTGGTCCAAATTTAGCGAGTAGGTTGACCAATATTTTAGCTAAGATCTGGGAGTTGGACGTTATGCCATTTGACTGGTCACAATCACTTATCGCCCCAATATATAAGAGAGGGTTAAAATCATCCTGTGACAACCATAGAAGGATTAGTTTGACTAACATAGCATCTAAAATACTAGCCTCAACAATTATCGGGAGCCCAACAAAGACTCGTGAACTGCAAACATAAGAAAATCAGGCTCGCTTTGGACTTGGTCATGGCTGTATCGACCACATATTCACCTTTCGTCAGGTTCTAGAAAATAGGCATACTTATCGGCGTCCTACAATCGTGGTCTTTCTTGACTTAAAAGTAGCATTTGACTCCGTAGACCGCGAGATTCTGTGGCAGTGTCTGAAAGGCATACCTCAGAAGTAAATAAGCCTTGTGAAGGCTCTTTACTCGAACACTACCAATCGAGTCAGAGTTTAAGGCGAACTGTGATCTGCTTTCGCAAGGCTGTCCACTTTCTCCATTTTTGCTTAACTTAATCATGGAACTACTGGTGGAAATAACGCTTTCATCGACAGAATTCTCGGGCATTGATCTCATACCAGGAGGTTCACTTGTCGACTTAGAATACGCAAATGACATAATCCTGTTTGGTGAAGATGCTGATACAATGCCGAGTCTTTTGGTAGCACTGAGTAACAATGCCAGGGTGTTTGGGATGTGTTTCTCCGTCTCTAAATGCAAGATGTTGCTTCAGGACTGGCCTGCGTCAACACTTGAACTTAGGATAGGGAGTAAAGTAGCTGAACGCGTTGGCATCTTCACTTGGAAGTCTGATCATCGCTAATGGGTTGGTGTCTGACAAAATCTCTTTACGGATTCAAAAAGCTCGTTTGGTTTTTGCTAACTTACGTCACTGATATGACGGGATGAAAAGTCAAAATTAGGTTGATTTACTCATTACGATTTTTTGTTCAACATAACTTCCGTTTTAATTCAGTATGATGATTACCCAATAGTGTTTTTTCCCGTATGATATTTTATTCTGTATAACATACGATATTCTTGTATTCAGTGGACATGAACTATTCTCAGCATATGACTTTTTACAACTAATCTGTTCTTTTCTTTTCTTTTCTTATACGCACATTACCTCCTTTTTTCTCTTCCCATTCTCATTTTGTGTGGCGCATATATATCTGATGCCCCTTGTAACAATATTTGTGTTCAAATAAATAAAATAAACGATATTCTTGTGTAAAGTATTTTTCATATATATGTGATTTTATTGTAATTATTAATAATAAATGGGTGTATGAATCAATATATAAATAAGTGTGTATTTCGGAATAGACTTGTCGTGGTTGCTCGTGCTTCTGACTGCTTGTGGAATATATTTCCTTCTCCCGAACTTGGACTTTTTTTCTCTAGTTAACTGGGCTGGGACGCGTCAGAATAGCTAGCTTATTGGTCTTTGGTCAAAGTCTTTGTTCCGTTCTCAGATTAGGTGAACTCGTAATCTCTTCAAAAATAAAAGTCACCTATGGCGAAGGCGATATATCCGACTATCAATTAAGAGACGAGTACACTGTGCAACAGTTCACTCTGTTCTACTTTACGGCTGTGAAACGTCGTCATTAAGAGCAGAAGATACTCGTAAGCTACTAGTATTTGATCACAGATGTCTTAGAAATATAGCTCGCCTCTGCCGGGATCACCAGGTAAGTAATAGTGAGGTTAGACGTAGGGTATTAGGGAATGATGATGGTAAATCAGTTGATGAGGTTGTGAATCTTCATCGACTGAGATGGTTGGGCCACGCGTTACGTATGTCTGAACACCAATTACCATGACACGCAATGTTGACTAGTGTATGCAATGGTTGGAAGAAAGTTAGGGGTGGTTAAACCGAAACGTGGCATCAGTGCTTGAAGTCACTAACTTCTGGTTTGAGCCATGTTGACAGATGCAGACTACTTGGTTGGGGTCCGCGTGACTATCGTAACCAGTGGTTGGAGACTCTGGATGACATGGTTTAGAATCTATCACAATGGTGTTAGTGTATACACTTTGTCCTCCTTTAAACCGTGAGATTAAAATCACTTCATATCTTTCTTTCTACGAACTAATTCTTTCATTCTGTACTACATCCTTATATTCAATCTTTCTTTTATATATTACTATCAGTGAATTAAGTACTTCTATGAATTCGGTGTTCATCTTGTTGTGCTAATGAGGTATGGCAACTTGAACCGATGCATATTGTGCCTGGTCCTATGTTGTAGCTAACTGAATGCTTCCTTACTGACCTCTACTCTGTCATTGGCTCGAAAGTTATCCATTTCGGTTCGTACGCACCATCCAGTACCAGTTATTACAAACCATGACAGTTAGATGAATAGTATACGGAATTCCTTTTATAAATACTTTATTAGCTCCATATCATAATAAATAACCTTACTCATTAAATCTACTGTATTCTAACACACTTCCTACTTTTTTATACCCTATTTCATTCAGCACCCAGTCATTTTTGAATGTTATGATTAATATAAATCTCCTTCCAAGTTCATAAGTCCTCGCTTTCTCTCACTTAGTGTCACTCTAGTAGTGTCTAATCCAGTAATCATTATGACTTGCTATTTAAAATGTCGATCAAAAAAGCGACAGATATGATTAGAATTTCGACAAGTTTAGTCATTTGTGTCGACTTTAATGAATGATCTTTGTCAATAAACAGCTTTTCAATGTGTATACTACAGAAGAGCTAAGTGAATCAGTGGAACAGAAGGATGTCGATCCTAAAGCGATAAATTTATTAACTGTTTATAAACTCTTCATTATCACATATAGTAGACCGAACAATCTGACAAAAATGACATAATCAGAGGGTTATAGTAATCGCTCCAAGTTTACTTTAAGCTGAAATACATAAAAATTGCAGAGAAAATACAAAAGTGAACAATCACAAAAATTAGACAAATATACAATGTCACCTAGATGAGATCTCAAAATAAAAAGAGAATTAGTACGTGAAATTGATGGGAATAGAAAAGATCTCTCTACAACCGAAGTACAAAATGATAAATATTTCAGATAAACAAGAAAAGTAACTTTACTATCCACAATCACATACAAACTGACACCACTGTCTTCGCTGTCCATATTGACTTAATCAATTGTAACATTCATATCACGTAAATCCTTCACCTCTATAAAATAAACATTGTAGAAGAATGGCTAAATCTAATCCAATCTGTAGTAAACCACACATCAGAAACTGTAATGGGGCATTTTCTAATATAAAGTAAATTGTTTTGAATATATCACCTGAAGTCCACATTAACACCATTGAAATACTGAAGATGACAAAAAAATGAAAGATAATAATATCAGTTTGAATTTATGTTAAATTTAAGACAATTTGTTGACAGTCACAAATGAAAAGTAATCAACTTTTAAAGATTTGGTGGAACAAGTTCTCTAACCTTCAAAAAGTGAAATCGTTGACAACTCGACACATGATATGAGACTAAATCATCCATGCTACTTGCGACTAACGTATATCAATCAAATCATGATCAACAGTCTGACTACTAAAAGCTTCCCAGATTTCAACTTTGTAAATCTGACAATGATGATAGAAATATGCAAGTTTTACATCAATTTGACATGTTTAGTCACGGTTTCCCGATCTCACTATTCCTCTCCAACTTTGCCAACGATGACGTTCTGGAAAGAGCTCCGATGGATGTAGGATCTGCGGATCTGCTGCCGGGAGAGACTTCGACCTTGAAGATGCGGACGATATCGTCTTACTGTCTTACTCAACCCCCACTCTCTATCTCTTCACACCATCACTGCTGTGTGGTGCATATGTATTTAGCGCCTTCTTGCACCAATGTTTACGTGTTCAGATAAATAAATAATAACATTATTAAGTTTTCAGAATTAATCGAACATTTGGTACACGCGCTTTCATTATCACGGTCCTAATTTTTATCATTATACAATACTCCTGATTATTATCTTACTATACTTCATTATACTATTCAAGATTTGTGAGTCATCTGTCTAATTCATTTCATTGTAATAGTTTTGCATTTGAAAATGCATAAATTTCATTTATTTTATTCCTTTCCTAACACCATCAATTAACTGAATTCAAAGAAAAAACAGTATTTAATCGTGAGCCGAACTGGTAACCTTTTTTAGGTATCTAAAAATGTTAACTGACAAACGAGTTACTTATTACCTTAATTATTTCAGATATCGATTGAATTCGGAAATATCGACATTGAACTCTAATTCAGTCAGCCAAAGGTATGGTGTAAATCACAGTGTCGATCGTTCTCTGTTAGATGTCGTGCGATACAATATGTATAAGTTATTTAGGGATCCTTAACCCAGATAAAACAACTGACACTGTTTTCCAAGGCCTTCATGACGAAAATTACCTTCATATAATTAAATCCGCATACATTTAAATGTGATCAACTAGAGAGCATTAAAAATCGATTATATTGCACACAATTCAAATTCAACGAGTTGTTAATGTAATCAATAGAATAAATAAATTGAAACAAAATTAGTCCATTAAAAAGAATTTTTACTTAATGTGAAAAGCAACCAAACAAAATCAACAATAACGATAAAGTGAAACTTAAAAGGCAAACTTTAATGAATGAGTCTTCAAAAAAAAGTACGCAAACTAGGACAGTTAGATTAAGATTTAATTAGCTAAACAGTATTTTTCTAGAATTCTATACTATTATATTAAATTATAATTGATCGGTATATATATATATATACATTCAAAGGGAATTTCACAAGATAGTTCGATAAATGCCAGAAACAATCAGAATTCATATTGATTCTTCCAAAATGTTACAATTACTGGTGAAACATATTCAAAATTGAATAAGATCTATAGAAACTAATTTTAAATATAAATTTATCGATAACCAGGAAATGAACTCTTAGGTTTTAATAAGACAGTCGTGAAAGATCAGGGTTATATGTGATTTAGTGCTCTGTACTATAAACAGATAATTAATTTCGATATCTAGATTATCTGCATCCCGAACAACTAATCGGTTGATATTTTTCAAGAAATGAAAACAATATTTATTATAATTTATTTTTTTCAGTGTTAACATTACATTCCTGAGAGCTAGACATGTGTGTGGCATAAATCCATACAAGTAGAGCTCCATTGTTTGTTTGGACTTCACTTAGATTAATGTAGTAATGAAACCACCGAAACTGATCCATAAAGTTCACCGGGTTTTCCTCCCATCCAAACGCTACAACTCAAGGAAGTGTGGTAGGTAGCCTCTATTTATTATTATTTAATCTACTTTGTAAGGATTCAATCTAGTATCCCTGTTTGTCTCTGGCTCAAAAAGTTTTAGATGGTTCATCAAAAGGTTTGTACAATAATAAACGTCAGTGAGAACTTCGTTTTAGTTATGTCTATGACTAACCAATCAAATTGTTGCTTAAGCTCTCACCGCGTCAATCTGGTTTGATGTGTCTGTAGACTATCCCCGTTGCATATAACCTACCAATTGAAGGACAGTATTATCTTATTATATTAGTGTGACTCATTTTTATTCATTTCGATAAGACACGCAATACTGGTCGGTTTGTTGATGCGTTTCACTTAATGATTATAATTCCTTTAATTACTGTACTAATCTAATTGTTTTCATTTTTAAAAACAGATAAAGTTTAAAGCCAAGTTGTCTTTGTTCTGTTCATAGCTTTCACATAGACTCTGGGGTCGCGAGTATCACGTTTGCAGTTCTAGCAGAATGTCTGTAGAACAAATTAAATCCTACAAAGATTCGAGAACAGCTACCGAACGGATCCCCTGTTAGTTAGAATTACCTAAAGTACGCTTAGCTCAGACAGAAAGAGAAATTGAGTTGGAAAGGTTATGTCAAAAGGGGAGAGAGCATTATAGTCAAGTTGTGGCTGACAAGGTGACGTCGTACAAGTTTACATCTGCCCAACGTGCAGTTGATGTTCCTCCTGGAAAGGACTGAGTAACAATGATATCTAAAGCTATGGACCTACCAAAAAGAGAGATCATGTTTGACGGTAATCCCGTGAAATATTGGAGTTTCATACGGAATTTCGTAAACTGCTTCGATGCAAGTGCTGAAAGTCGATCTAGGTTAAATTATTTGATTCAGTATTTTAACGGTAAAGCTAAATCTACTATTGTTCATTGTGTACTGCTTGAACCAAAAGAAGGCTATCGTAAGGCGTTAGAGCTTCTCGAGGAAGCATTCGGTCAGAAGCACATCGTATCTCATGCATTTATTGGTAAGATGCTGAACATCCCTGCTATTAAGGGGACTAATCCAGATAATTTAAGAAGACTATCTTGTGAGACGATTTGTGATCTAACGCACGTAGATGAACTATGTATCCGATCTGAATTCTACAAAGGCTATCGAGAGTATGTTTTTTGAAACTCCCACCACACTTACAAAGAGAATGGGCGAAAGTGGCATGCAGAATTCTTAAGAAGAGTAGAGAGCCCTAATTTAAGGACCTTTACAAATTTGTGAAGGAGCAGTCGGATATTGTTAATACCAGATACGGATTGCTTGTCAGTGAAGATCGTTCTAAACGAAACAAAAGGCAGTCGGCTGTTGTTACTAAGAAAAATCTTCATTCAGAGTATAAGGCGAGAGTCGTTCGCTAACCCGAGTGGGTCTGATGTCACTTCACACGTAAGATCAAGCACCTTTAAGTTTTCATGTTCATTATGTACTGGAAACCACCCTTTAGACCAATATGAAAGGTTTAGAGATAAGGATATCAATGAAAGGATAGAGTTTGTATTAAAGAAGTTGTGCGGTGTCTGTCTGAAGGCGAACCACAAAGCAAGAAACCGTCGGGCGCCGAGGTCATGTGCCGTCGAAGGATGTGACTGGAGACACCACACCTTGTTAAACAGGAAGCGGGAAGAGTAGGGAGACAGTAATAGTAATGTGCATATCAATACCCAACTCTGTACGGAGGAAAGTGCTAAGCGTGTACTGAGACCAGTAGCATTTGCAATAGTACCTGTATTGGTAAAAAAAAATGGAGAAAGGGTAGTACACACTTGCGCTTTCCTAGATAATGGCTCAGACGCTTCGCTTATTACAGAATATTTAGCTAGAAAGTTGGGTTCAGAGGAAGAGTTCAAGACGCTTTTATTGAAAACTCTGGATAGCCAATCCCCATTTCATTGTAATGAGATCCAACTAGAAGTTTGCCCCTTAGATTCTTCTTCATCACTCAGAATTTCAAAGGTGTGGACAGTCGAGAGATTACCTATGTTTCGTGGGACGGTATCAACAACATATCAGATGGCATCGTGGTCTTACTTGCGGTGTGACCCTCCCAAGAGTTGACATCAAAGACGTCAGGTACAATGTACCTCAGGCACATAAGATAAAAATGAGAATGGGAAAATATAACGAACCATACGCTATAAAAACTCCCTTAGGGTGGACGTTGTTTGGACCTTACAGTGAGACCACGAGAAATATGGGTATCATAAATTATCTATTGTCGAAAGATGAACTAGAAGCTAGATTAGACCAGTTATATAAGATGGACTTTGAAGAAGACCCGAATCAACATGCGCCCATGTCGGCTGAAGATCGTAAAGCCTTAAATGCTATGTCCAAATCTACACAATTAGTGAACAGGCATTACCAAATAGCTTTGCCCTGGCGTCACCACCAAAGCCTACATAATAATAAAAAACTAACTATGAGTAAATTAAATTCCTTGAGAAATCGGCTTATCCGTGACCAGAGGTTGCATATAGAATATGTTAATGTGATGGCATAGTATGTTGATCGGGGCTACGCCGGAAAGGCTACAGAGAACTTCGTTAGGTGTCGGGTTTGGTATTTACCGCACCACCCTTTCTTCCATCCAAAAAAACTTAATAAGCTAAGAATCGTATTCGACTGTGCAGCGCAATACACTGTATTCTGGTCCAAATTTAGTTAACAATCTGGTAGATGTCTCCACCAAATTTCGGCAACGGTCAATAGGTCTCACGGCAGATTTTGAAGCTATGTTTCATCAAGTGATTGTACCGTCACAGGATCGCAATGCCCTTAAATTTTTATGGTGGCCGCAGGGTGACATAAGAACTGAACCAGAAACTTGTAAGATGAAAGTACATTTGTTTGGTGCGACCCCACCAAGTTATCAACCAGTGTTAATACGTTAGAAGCTAAATTAATATATTCTCAGCTGAAGGAAATGTTACGTTTAGGGGGTTTTAATCTGACCAAATGATGCAGTAACAATGTTGAATAATTGAAGTTTGTTCCAAAGGAAGACCGCGTAGAAAGAAACGAAGACATTTGTTTATCTATGGAAAGAAATGAAAGGACTCTATGAATAAAGTGGAATATTTGAACGGATAAGATCTTCAGGTTGTGTGAATTCAATGCGACTCCTACAAGGAGAACCATTTTGTCGTATGTAGCTTCTATATTCGACCCAGTTGGGTTTACAGCTCGTTGTTTTACCAGCTAAATTAATTTTGCAACATACTTGTCGGTACAATCTGGCACGGGACGCAGAGCTTCCTAGGGAGTACTTTATGAGATGGGACTTAGCTCAGAAGTATGAGGCGCATAAGTGAACTGTTACTTTCCAGATGTCTCGTACCATAGTCGTACAAACCACTGGGTACTCATATTCACTTGCTTTGCCGATGCCTCAGGATTTGCATATGGCGTTGTGGCTTATGGTCGTTTTGAGGATATCTCCCATCAAGTTCATTGTTCCTTTTTATTAGCTAAGTTCATGGTTGGCCCACTGAAACCTATAACCATTCCTAGTCAGTTAGTAACAACGTAGAACTTCGTACGTACGTACATCAGTTCGAGTTGCCATACCACATTAGCATAGAGATGCAGTTGTCGATTTAAATCCCGTAGTGGTAGAGGTAGTAAAAGTATAAGCAGTAATCGGAAAGATTAGGGTTTATAGATGTTATTCAAGGAGTATAATCCAGTGAAATAAAGTTGGAAAGAGGAAAAAAGGGATATGAAGAAGTCAGAAGAATTAACAGCTGTTGTACTGTGTGCTAAGATTGAAAAACACGTGGAACAACAATTACGCATCCCTATCTCTGTCACTTATTGGACGGATTCATTGGTCGTACTTCATTGTATAAGAAATACAATCAAAAGATTTGAGAGATTCGTAAGCAATAGCTTACCAACGATTCACGAGCTGTCTACAGCAAGCCAATGGAAATATGTTAAAAGTAAACAGAATCCTGCGGATCATGCTTCGCGTGGATTGTCGTTAGATGATAGCATCAAAATAAAAAAAGAGTGGTTTCACGGACCGAACATTTTATGGCAGAACGAAAGTGGCTGGTCGAATTCATGCGAAGAGGAGAACCATGTTTTAGCCCACTTGTTTACAGAAAAATTAGGCGAAACATTAGCGGGGAGTCATTTAGACCGATTTTTGAATCAATTTAGTAATTGTAAGACCTGGTCCAAAATGCTGAGAATATTCGCTCTATACAAACGGTTCGTCCACAATATGAGGATGAGATTAGACGGAAGACCGTTAATTCATGGTAGATTGAGATTGAGAGAAATTGATAGCGCGAAGTAAAATATAATTAAATTGGTTGAAATAATCTCATTCCCCATAGAGATGGAGACGCTAAGGCGCATACAGCATAAAAACGAGCACGGCAGTACATTTGAATCACAAGAAAGACTGATATAATGAATCTGTTTCGAATAAGGAAATGACACTCCACCTAATGTCTGCTGGTAAGAAAATGAGAAGTGTTGCGCGTAGGAGCCCGATGAAGAATCTTAATCCCTTCGTAATAAATGATGTCATTCGAGTAGAGGGACGACTTCAATTATCGTGCTTGCCCTTCGAAAACAAACATCGGCTTATACTTCCTAGTAATCATTTTGTTAGTGACTTGGTCGTAATGCACTATTATTTGCAGAACGCGCATTCTGGTATTACTCACACCCTGAACAGTTTCCGTGAAGAGTTCTGGGTCATTAAAGCTCAGGCTGCTATCCAAAGAGTCATGAAACAGTGCTTCTTATGCAAGAAACTCAACACTACGCCGTGTACGCAGATCACCTGGAAGCTTACGTACCACCATTCAATTCTGTTGGTATAGACTATTTTGGACCATTTTACGTTAAGAGGAGAGTCACTGAAAAACGATATGGCTGTTTGTTCACTTGCCTGTCTTCAGGTATGAAAACTCTCAAATTAAACTACTAACCACTTACCTCATTCCAACAATCGATTTATTATAATAATTCTTCGTAAATTGTGGTAAACCCAACATAGATTCGATGAACAAGGCAGTAAAGCCCAATAATTGAATATAAATTTGACTCGATGACAATAAGTAAGTGCACAGACCGGAAATCAGTGTAAATAAACATAGGAATAATAAATAGTTAGAGAAATGTGTCCATTTCCAAAAATTACGAAGCCAGATATCTATGAGAAATGTAAACATAAAACAAACCGGAGAAGGGAATTCCTCGTTATTACGGTTGACTGCAAGATAATACACTAAAATTGATGGGATATTAATAATACTAGGGTCAATGTTAATGATACAATATACATTCACTCATTTAATTATTCTTACTAGTTAAATATTTCCTCTTAATAAATTTCCAATTCTACTAAAATGGGAATTAGAAGTGAAATAGTGATATATTTTTGATATCCAATGAGTAGGAAATAGAATTTATGACGTTTAGCGGTTTAATAAATAAATAACCAAATAAGATTAGCAAAAATGTTAATTTGGTTCGATTATTTACAAGGGAAATACACTCTGTCAAACATGATTTTAAATTAATATGTCAAGATATTTACAGAAATGAAAGGACCAAATTATAAATCAATGGGAAAACATAAAAAAGGTGTATAATGCAAGAGAACAACATTACCTATACTATAATAATGTTAAAAGTAAAATCAATATCACGAGAGTATGAACATACTGATTTTTAAATAAATCACTAAAGTTCACAATTTTCATTTCGTTCTTAACGCTTCAATAAATCCAAGTATTTCCTACTCTGAAAATCTCTATAGCACTACTATAAAGATTAGTAGTCTTAGATCCCTCACGCGGAATTGTGGATGAGCACTGCTAAGGAGTCTCATCCTATGACGAGACGGCCGTTCAGTGCTTCCAGGTTTTCAACAGCGGTCTAACATTGATCGATTCATGATTTCCACAACCATATCCTGGTAATTTTTCTGATTGCTTGATAGATCGGATCGATTTCAATGCATTTGGTGATTGCTAATTGACCTCGGTGCCAGGCTTCTAAAAACCCTCTGTTGTTTTTAGTATTCCTTCTATCCAAGATCTCAACATTTCTTCAGTTGAATATATCTACAGTTGTCCACATGCATTGATATAAGCGAGGATATGTCGTGGCGTTTGGCCGCTAATTGGTGTTCGTGGAGACAAAGATAAAGGGGTTGTCCACTTTGCCCGATGTAGCGTTTTTAGTGATTGGAACAGTTTATTTTTTAGATCACGGGAGGTTTTTGTTCTTTAGTCATCTAGTCTTTTGGTTTGCATAGGGTTGATTGAAGTGATTTTGTGGATTTGTAAGCTACATCTATTCCAAACGGCTTCAATAATCGCATTGTAATTTCTGATGTCTTCCAAGTTAGGTAACAGAATATACTCTTGATTAAACATTCATGTATTCAACACATGTAATAGCCATTCATAAAGTAAACAACTTATTCCAAAAATGAATTAATCATACTTCCACATAATTTCATCGTAAGCATGAACAATTTGCTCAGAATAAATGTTTATTTATAACACATAAACATTTCGGTAAAAGGCATTCAGAAGAATTTACTACGCACTGTAGAATGACAGTATGAGAAAATAGAAGCGGGAAACGTCATATTATTAATGAACAAATAAAATATACAATCCAGTCAAAAATAAAAAGAAGACTTCTTACAGTTAGAATTACTCTCGTGTTTATAAGAACTGTGAAAAAAACTACAGCCAGATTACCATTGAGCTCTGCTTTAACCTATATCTGACATATCAGACTATTGAGCTGCATTATCATAATAAACCCAATCAGGAAATTAAATTAGGCTAATAGCTGCTAGTCGTATGCAACAACCTATCATTCCACGGTGATGTGCTATGAACTAGTGATTTCGATTTTTCACCCAGTATTAGAGTAAGCACCTAATGCACAGTTTGGAAGCAGCTGAAATGACATAACCCACCTAACCCGATGATCTGAGACCATGATACTAAACGGACTATTCCTACAGTATCAAACAAACATGAGTAAACTCTAGGAAATGATCGATGTAGATGAAATGTCAGAAATGATCGAACAAAACGAAAGAAAATTCATCTGCTTATCATATATCAGTTTTTTACAAGAATTTCACAATTCTAGAAGCATAGTTTAGATGCAATTATAAGACTCTTACCGTCAGAAATATTGAAACCTTTAAATAGACCCCTCAAAGATATGAATCGACAATCGCTTCAGTCCAGGACGATAAAACGCTCTTAAATTGCTAAATCTTTCCAAACGGTTTGGTAAGTTCTCTGAGCAGATGTTTGCCTCTATCGTTGAAAAGGGTTGAGGGTAGGTTGTCTGAGATTAATGACTAGGAATGCTCCAGAAGCTGGAGTTCGTTATGGAACTCCGCCTAGTTCGGTGTACTGATAGACACATTCCAAGAACAGGACAGGTTTGTTGATACTGTTTGAGTAGTAGGAAACCAGCTAAACTAACCCACAAAGTACCCTACTTAGCATTCAAAGTGTCTTTGAAGATTACTAATCGGCGTGCCATTAACCACATAGGATGTTTCATTTACACTACGCATCTAGCTGTTAGCAGCTCGGACGACTTGGAAGTTTCCGGGGTTAACCAGATATAGCTCCTGCTCCTAACTCTTCATCACTCTTTGACCACCAAGCATAACGGTGCTTATAAGAACTTTGAGAAGTTTTACGCGTATAGCCATATCCACCATCCACTGACAGAAAACAAAGGTGATCGTGTAGTTAAAAGTTGTATATTGATCATAATAAAAGTGATAGATTTAATGTTTTATATCATCAAGCATATTAAGATGAGTGTGCACGAACATTGTGAACATTAACTAGTATCAGTACTGACATAATCACATGACCAACCACTTATGGTCTAAACGAAAAGAATGCTATAACCAATGTGCCGTCATTTTATTATAAAAAAAAGATAAGAACTTATGCCATAGAGTGATCGGCCATCTCCTTCAGGTAATAAGCGACAGCTCAGAGCAATAGAAATCTATTGAAAAGGTCACCATAACATGGTTACTACTTTTAAAATTCTTCAACATGAAATGATTGAATAATGCGTATATTCAGTCAACTTAACCCTATTTTGGTAGAAAATATTTTAGCTAGTTATGGGCTTATTTAATGTGGAAAGTGTATATACAGACTGACTTTATGTTTACTCCATCTGTTAGGTAGCTATATGAGGCTGTCAAACAACCCTGAACCTCGGTTACTTGTTGGTTGGCATTTATAAAAGGCTGAAGTTTCTTATAGGACTACAGCCGACAGTTTCAAGAGCAGAACAGATACTACTAAATTGTTCCAATCGACCACTCTCAAACACCTAGCATCAAACAACTCATGCTACGATGTACAGTCGCTTAACACAAGGAGGGCACCCCATGTAACAATTCGGTTACTCATTGTAGTATTTAAGGTCCTTATTCATGAAATTTACGGGAGAGATAGTTCAAATACATATAAAAAAGGATAAAACCGATATTAGGTTGAGAAAGGAAATCATTACAATGCTTATTTCTAACCTATTCCTAAGATGTATGCCTATATGTTTTTCCGTAATTCTCTGAACGCACTGAATCGGACGTTTTATCACTTTATCATTAATCTGTTCAAGAACCTTTTTTTACTACGACAACTTCAAGAAAACTTTTTGGAGTCTCTGCACTCGACCCATATTGTCTCCAGTATGAATCATAAAACATCGTCAATATACGAAGATTGGAAATAACCTCATGATCACATGAAAAAACAATTGTCCATATCTTCATTTTCAAGGTGAATTTGACTTAATAAACACGGACAGATTTTTATAATAGACTTTTAGATGCACTTAATACATCTACAAATACAGTTCGATAACTTAACCAAATTAAATAAATCAATATCCAGATGATTTACAACTCTGCAATCATTAAAAGAATACAATTGCATAATTTAATCATCTGAAAGCAAAATTTCGCCTAAACGTAAAACTCAATTACCAAGGACAATCTTTGAGAGACATTTGAAACAAACAAATCACTGAAACAAAAAACCAATATTTTGAAACGTTCTAATACTTTAACAACTCACCTTGGAACTGATTGATATTCCAAGTCTCTGTCTCTACTTTCCTAATACTGATTGTACATGGCATAGACGGAGAACGCTTTATGCTAGACAACTGAGTAATAGCTCTCAGTAGAATAAGCATAGTAGCAATCATAATGAAACTTTGAAAAAGTAAGGCGGTTGAAAATGGCTGTACAAACCTATAACGAGAAAATAATGCATGAATATGTATGGGAAGGGAGGTTAAACTGATCAGTACATAAGAGTTTATACAAACTGGGTTGTGGTCAGGTTAAGGCTTTCTATTTATGGACCAATAAAACAAACTTTGAATCCTATGCCAATGTTCACTCCGAAATTCTTGTTAATTCGACAATAATATTCAAATTTTGTAAGTAATACAACAGTAGAGACATTACCTTCTCAGAGACTGTCACGATGAGTAGTAATTGCTACCGCCATAAGTGGTGGAAAGACGGAATTACTTATGAAAGACGCTGTGAGATAAACTACAGGTGTTGGATGAGAGTATATAAGTGTACCGCAACTTCTTGAACAATACCCTAGAGATGGTGCAAAGTGACTTAAAGCTTGACATGATGTGGCACTAAATTGGAGAGAGTAGAAATTCAGAAGATACTTCGACATGAAACAATGAGATAAAAAAACAATGTCCCCAACTAAATTCCCAGTTTTCGTGATTATCGTTTATCTAGCTCCTCCTTTATATGCTTTCTGGATGTTATTAAAATGATATGTACTCTGCTCCCCTCAATATTGTACTTTTTATTTAGATAAACTATACTTGCAAAACAAAGAAAAGCATAGCAATATATTTATATTTGATCACTCCTTTTATACAATAAGAAACAAGCCACAGGTGGTACAAACTAAATTGATAATATAATGAACTATTTGCTACAGATTAGAATTCTAGTGATCTGGCAAGCGAATTTTCGATTGTTAGTCAAGGTAAAGAATCCTAATCGGCAGATGATATGAAGTGATACAATGTGGCTGTGACGACTGCTTACAAGACCTGACTATTGACGTGAACCCCTGAATGCTTTGAAATCAAAAACAAGACCACTAATCGGAATAACATGCTTATGTGATGAAAAAAGGACTAGATGCCTATAAATAAAACAAACACAAAAAATAGCACAGTAAAATAACATAGGTGACCGGAAGAAATCAGTTCTTAAGTCACTCATTCTCCAACGAATTAAGGCCTGACTATCCAGACTGATTCATGCCCGTCATATTAGTACCATACAACAAATTTAAAAATTCAGGCAGAACATGGTTCACTTGACTGTAATTCAATAAACTGGTACTTGAAATGTCGAAAAAATCAGAATACGATTCACAATGAACAAACGTGTTAGGTTGTTTTATAATAATAAGAGGCGTTTTTAGGAGTAGTTGCTTAGTGATTAAAGCAATCAACTTACAGCCATCTCTGGAAGTTAGAGCTCCACTTCAATTCTTTATATATCGGGAGTCACTTGGTAAACTAGTCTTCACACGAAAATTTAACTTGGAGCCGAGTGCATGAAGTTAAACATGCTTTTCAAGTCATGTGGTTACTACTAAGAAACAAACTTGGAGTGACTAGCTTTGTAGGGTTCTGAAGCACACTTTACCCAAATATGGCACTAATATAGTAATAGTGCGGGACGGTTGTGATTATATGATCGAGTCCATTGTAAAATAAATATTCAGTAATAATCTTTCAATCTTTCGTAATATTAAAGTACTAAGTAAATAAATAAACGTCCCAGATGAAACATTAAAAACCAAGATTTTAGTAGGAGAAACAGTATATACTATCGTCTTAATAGTATCTAATTTTCATGTATACCTTATCGAACAGTTCTCATTATAAAAAACATATACGTTTAAAACTTGAAACATTATCTTATAACGCAATGATTTCCAGTTTGGTTTCGAAAAAGAAGGGGTAACTACTTATTCCACTAAAAACATAATAAGTAAATGAAATAATGAAAAACTTACCAAAACAATATTCTTAGAACATTCGATATTAAAAGTATAAAACAAACAAATGAGGAAAAACCTTTAATAGATTGTGTTTTGCGAATTTTTAAATATTGTGGAATATAAGGAACCGCTCCTCCAAAAATATAAAGTAGGCTGAAAAAGTTATACAATAGCCTTCCATCTTCAGTTGTATTATCTTTATTACCTTCAAATATGTTAAACATCAATCAAGTTAAACACTAAAAGATTTCAAAATGATAAAGAGAAATTTTACACGAAAAAAGTAAAGATATAATATTTCAATTTGGAAACACTAAATCATACGTAAGTGTTAAGAAAATATATTTAAATATGAACAATTTCTTAACCCTCTAGACAGAAATATAATAAGAGCAGTTCAACGTAAATAAACAAAGACTTTCCAGTTGTATTATTATTGACGACTGATTGGTTATATGTATATTTTGATTATTTGATTAGATTTCCCTATCAACTTAGGATAATCCTATCCCTACTGTCACATATTTTATTTAGTTCCAAAATTTGCGAAAGAGACGAAAATCTTTTCTCATTTTACAAATTAACAGTTGGCCAATTAGTCCTAATCAACGTACGGCTGTCAAACCACATCAGTAAGACAAAATAAAATCAGAAGTATGAATGGCCGAGTAGAAATAATGTAACAGTAATGATGAAAAAGGCTAACTTATTGATATGGTTTGAGGAGACGGAATGAAAAAAGGATGAAAGAATACTGGGACTTAAAATCTAAAGTAAGATGGACAGTAAATCTATTAGCTCTACCGAGACCAATTCAGAGCTACTTTACTTAACGCCTCCAACCAGTAATTGTGGTTGTCGGGCGAGCCCCAACTAGGTAGCCCATACCTGCTAATACGGCTCAGACCAACAATCATTGATTTTATGAACTGATACATCTTTCTCTTTTGACCTAGCTTAGTTTTCTTCAAACCTACTCCTACACCAGCTAGCATAGACCCTCAAGATAGATGACATTTAGACATACGTAAAACATGCCCAACTACCTCAGACGATAAAAATTTCTAACCACACTACTCGATTCCCTATCTTCCTCTAGTACTTTGTGTTTTACCTCAATGTTGTTTACTCAATCTTCCTAGGATACCTGAGCAATGCGACAAAGATATCAACGATCACAAAACTGCAACTCACGTCTACATCCAAAGACCATGTTTGTCATATAGTAATACATAACAGACCACTAACTTTACTCGCAATGATTAATCCACATAATGCTGACCAGTCCAAAAGCAACATGTTAGTAATCAAAGTATAGAAAACGCATTCCAAATATAGTTATATTGCTACTCAAAGACTTCGTGAGACCACATTGTCACCGTTTCCTAATTAAAACTAATCTATTTTATCAACCTAAGATGCAGTTGAACCAATTTTCAAGCTATACAGTTTATGTTTTTATCCCATACCTGTTTTAGACGAAAATAGAGTAAATATACACTGTGATTAAAGAAAAAATAATTCGAACACAGAAATATGAGATCTGTAAGAAGGAAAATGAGGTAATTATTTTTTTAAAATTTATGTTATCATAGTGAGTGAATAATGCAGAATTTATGAGTCGGCTGGCGAAACTTGGTCTTAGAAAGTGAAAAGAACTTATTTATCTGGGCTATGATTGATAGTCTAAAAAAAATTTATTAAAACTTGTGTAAGCGAGATAACAAGTGAATATTTGCTATATAAGATCAAGTAAAATATTTAGTTATTCGCAAGTGTGAATGTTCAACTATAGTGAACTCAATGACTAGTCAGCAAGCCATCATATAGCACACCTTATGAAGTTCTATCATTTTGTGAGTCGATATGTACCCGAACAAAAAGACTGGCATACATGTATGTCAATTAGACCGTTCCATAATCCCACTGCACACTCTACACAAAACATAAATAATTGTTTGTCAAACTACTGTGGAAATCACTGTATTAATGCTTTGTGAACTAACGGGATGCAAATGCAGTTGATTACGAGCCCACATATAGACCGATGAGTATTTTCGTTAGTCTCATCTCAGAGCGAACGAAAGTCTTCCCGTAACTCCGAAGTACATAAACCAACGTAACTATATGGATTATAAAGTGAATAAATCTCAGTAAACTGAGTTTGCTGTATACAACGATTTCGCGAGTTGAAAAAAACTGAAACTAGTTTGATAATCTGTGCGCGTACTGAAGACTTAGGTCGAAGCAATACATGCCTTTTACAAAACTACCTTATATAACGTAGTTTTGTGAAAACCTAGATTGAGATACTCTTCACAAGACGACATTGTTCACGAAAGGGAATGTTTTTATCGATAAAAAATACTTAAATGATCATTCCTACAACTGTCTGAGTGATATAGGCAAGTCCCACAATAGCCATCCAAAAGAACCATATTACCGCCTCTACTCAATTGTGCACAAAGAGAGCGGGTAAATCAAGGAGACATTCAATGTCGATTGCTCTATTCCTGTGGATTTCGTGTGATGATGATAGACCGTTCGCCCAAATATTATGTGGTAATTTATTTAACCACCTAAATACAATTTCGCTAGATTCGGGTGCTGCATGTTCCTTAATCAACAGTTCTCTCGTTCCCAATGATGTATCCCTGTATGATACTTACAATGAACGTCCGAACGTAATTAGTGGCAATTCCATGGATGTCGAGGTGAAATTACCATTGTAATGGACCCAAAACCAATCGAACTTCCTGCGTGATTCGTCAGTAATTAGGTGAGAAATTAAACATGGTACATATGAATTTCGGACTATAGTCCCATCCAGGTATTTAAAGCTAGTGAGACGTAGTTGGAAAAACTTCGTACTAAGCACCGTTCTTTTAACTGGGCGCTCTTAGTAACTATTTGGACCCATTAAACGTCATATAAGTTGCTTACTTCCATTTCCTTGCAGGTTTCATCATGTCATGTCAGTTACAATGAAAATGTGTCACTGGGATCCTAATATTGGTAATGTTTTTGCAAACTGTAATTGACGTTTTGCCTATAGATCAATTTTCTAGCTCATACGGACCAAATTTTACAGGAGAAAATAGAGGAGAACGCCGGAGACGCTTAGACGAGAAAGAAATCATTTGGTAAAGTAATGTGCAAAATTCAGAATATTTAAAGCATAACGGCACTTGATTATTCTCTGGTAGCTCGAAAACCCCGTCAGTTGGTAGGTTATACTTTCTTTGACGGTTTCCATAGAAGTTTCGAAAGACTCGTCGAACCATTTACAATCTATGTTCAGATTTTGACTTTACAGAAGTTTTTGCTACCTAATGTTGGTGTTTAATTATTAAAAAACTCGTTGTTAGTATATTCAATTATGTTTGGGTCCTCTGTGAAAACAATTTATCGCAAGTACAGCTTTCTTCAGTCACATTCAGTTTCTGAAAATCGGATAGAAACAGCGTTCTCAAGGAAATTTCGTTATTTTCCTTCGACAAAACACCAGCCGTTCATCAGATCTGAAAGACTATTTGTCTTAAATATTTGTTAGGGGTAAACTATCTTGCATAAATTAATCATGGATTGCCAGACATGTCTCTCCAAGCCAAACACAGGCAAAATTATCACAACGTTTCAGAGGATTATTGCTTGAATTTTCATCAAATTTCTTCAAAGAATATCACCTTGATTCACCTTAAGGTTCCTCTACATTTCAGCACAAAGTTTGCTCGAGACTTATTTTAAACAGCGAATCAACCGTCTAATTAACTATTATACTGGCAAAGTTTCATTTAGGGAAAATGAGACTTAATGAAGATGTTAATTGGCCATTTCATTGTAAGGTTCTTTCAGATAAAATTTCCAACTACTGGTTGAAATATGAACAGCTATCTAGGACGATATATGGATAGGCAACATTTTATCTATGCTCACTAGTAATTAATTGACTTTTATGAACTGAGTACCAATTTTTTATTATAAAGTCTATCCTTCAGGTTTCTCCAAACTACTTAGGATCATCTGAAGTTTGTGGATCAGAACGTCCTTTGCCGAAAATTACTTGTATGATTCTTAATAGCTACATTTAGGCCAATTATTGCTAATTACCGTATGATCAGCAGTTTGATTAGAAGAAAGTCAGCCTTTTATGAGAACGTTTGCTCATTACTTTTCAAACAACTAGTCATGACCTGTAAGATCTGTTATGGTTGTTTTATGTGTGTGTGAAAATCCCTCCATGTATATACTTGCACTTTGTACCTATTGATCCCCTTAGTTGTGCATTGTTAACTTTTTGATTACATTTGAATTGTTAATATTTGTATTTTATTATAGTTTTTATTTTTATACGCCTTCACTAAGTCTCCGTGTTTCTTCCCGAACTGCGCTTGTGTTGTTTTACTTTATACTTAGTCTTGGCGGCAGCCATATTAGTTTGTCCCTCCTTTTGATTGATTTACCTGTGTTGACTGGAATTGTGCAGTTTTGGTTGTGAATTGAGGCACTCTTCCAGAATTGGAAACACCGTGTTATAAAGAGACCAAATATTATCTTTTGGACGAATCTGTGCATGGTCTATCCAGACAGGATAGAATAACATTTATTTGTTGTGATTGGTAATTTTCTTGAATCCTTTGTCAACTTCCTTATTTATTGTAATTTAGATTTGATCAATTGAACAATTATTGGTTGGATAGCTGAGTGGTCGTATTTGTTTAGGTAATAATGTACATTTAAATTTATGATGAATTATAGAACCGTCATTTTACCCAATTACTTTGTTTTGGTTTCAAACGGGCAAGGGCGCGTATCTAACCCACCTAATCAGCTGTCCATTAATCCAAACCTTAGTTTGGATCTTATATGACCAACACTGTCGAAGATTCAAAATTTACTAACAAATCGTAACCATAGTTTTACTTACTTATGTTCATTACCTTAGTAAGACTATAGTTTTATCACCACGCATTGTGAGCAAATTCACCGTTTAATTATAGGATTTAAAATGTACCACAAGCTTTAATTCCTTCTTATATTCCTGGCTTCTTTTATTCAGAACCGCTATGGTAAACCTGGTGAGCTACCCACGACTTTCACCTTGTGACTTCCGTCAACTACTGACAGGTCTAAATTCCTTACAATATTCGCATATCGATCGGATAATTGCTTTGTTAAAAGCTGGTATAGTTTAATATTTACGGCCATTACATTCTATAATCTGGTGAACAATTTCACATAAATATACCAACTATACGTTGTGTATGGTCTTCTGTTTTCGTAAACAGCGCACTACATGCAGAAAGTCTTGCGATGCAGTAGTAAAATAACTACATGCATGATGCGATATTTGCTCAAAACCTGACTTTTCACGATACTCGTCAATAATATCCACCATTTAATTATCACCGCTTAATATTTTGATCAAATTAGTTTCGCAAAAGCATAAGCATACCGTCTGATGAACTCAATTATCTTCTTATGAGTGTATACGTATTCCTACAATGGATTGGCTGCCCATGTGGTAGGACATGTGTCCAACAAACTGTAGCATAAACAGTTTTACCTGTTCAATATGTGTGCGAAGTAAACATTTTAAGGGCATTTTTAAGCCCCTTTAACTAGTGAGTACTGCACATACGAGAATAACCTTTATTGGAGACCTAATTTTAGCTTACAAAGTTTGCTTTACCTGCTTTATTATATCAAGGTGAAATTCGCTAGAAGACATGAAAAAGAAGATCTAGGTGGTCGAAATTATTGCGTAGTAAGACCGATGTTCCTATGTGCATCGCTCACTCACTAGATGGACAGGAAGACATTCTCAAACCCTTGATATCCCACACATATTGAACACTGGAAAAGTATGGATAACCTTGAAGCAACATATACAGTCAGTATTGACCCCATCTCTAAGTGTTATAAATCTCCATCTGAAAGTGACACCGCTCTATTTTTCCATATAGTAACAACTAAGATAAAGTTGAAAATGATAATGTTGTCTCCTATCACGAGCCTTGTCTGATAACCTGAAAGCCATAGAATCGCACCATCAGTTAGCCCGCAAAACCAAATATATAGAAGAGAAATTGAATTCCTTACCATTTTTCAAGTGTTCCTACGAAACCTAAAATCACGGCTAGCTGGAAACTTCGGGTTCCCCATAATTAACTGCACTTATCTATGATTTTTCAGTGTCAGTTGCTATGTTGAGTCCACACAGCCTGTTCTAGCTTTTAAACAGACCAGTTTATTCATTCTTCTTGAAAAATACCCTGACCCTGTTAGCTATTCGCCTATCGGCCTTGATTGTTTTCATATGAGCGTATGTGTTTGGACTTCTTATCCCATTCATCACAGTTCTGTAGCTTATTTTTGTCCAACTATTAATACCGATTCACGTTCAGCTAAATTGAGTTGGCTTACTCGTCGCCTCCATTGTGCGTCATTTTGCGATGCTCTGCTTTCCGATCAGCAATTTTACGAAATATAAGTATTCAAAAACCCATTCTTTTATTTGATTTGAGTTAAGTTGCTAATTATATGCGAGTATTGGTGACATGTATATTTCAAAAACAATCAGAAACCATCTAACTGGTATCAGATATGGGGCACTAGAATTTCTTATTTTTAAGTGGCACTAAAAGTTATTACGATATTCGCGACAACTTAATAGAAACAATACCTATGTGTTCAGAAATTCTTTTTATCTGCACTTACTTGATGACACTGTAGACTTCGTGGAGATTGGCTATAAAAGTTGGGTGCCAACTATCAGCATTATTAATGTAATACAATACTAATTGCAAAAAAATTCACTTTATATAAAAAATTAGGGAAACTCCTATTTGGAGCTAATCCTCACGTTTAATACCGCTGCAATCATTTCCAGTTTCGGCACAGTGATTTATTCGTTTGCAGCTATTCTTGATTTACTATGTAACAAGACTGTGGGCAATTGCATGATCAACGATGTCTGCAACCAATCTCCGGCTCAGCAATGAATAAATGTAGTTCTGCATCCGCTCCGAGTTCGTAAACTCATTTAGTCCCACGAGACAGCGACGTGACCTACCTACTCATTTTAGCCAAGTGGATACATCTGTCCCGATGAGCTGTCTATCCCAACTTATATGAGCCTTGTATAGCCTTTGTGAGATGAACTTAGAAGTGGGGCATTTTGAACCGATGAAACCCATAGGTTCAAGCAAACAGGAGACGACAGACAGTATCCCTCATACACTCAGAGGATCCTCTTACAAATTAAAGCAAAACATAAATACATCTGGTTTGACGTCTTATTCAAAGCTTACAGTTCTATAAGTGGTGTTATAACTCTCTGGAGTGCCAACAGAAGTTTCTTCTCTACATGTATCAGGCAAAGCAACCTTCACTCCCTCCAATATAATTATCCGTTCCTTCGAAATGAAACCTCCGTTAAATGATCATTCATTTATTGTGATAACCATTCTT